CCCAGGGTGAGCAGTGCAAGGGGACGGGGCTGCCCTAGCACAAGCAGCCCTGTTCGCCCACCCTGAGGGGCTGCAGTGCTCCCTTCTTCCCCAAAGCTGCTGCTGCAGCGCCCACGGGGCCCCTCGTGCCGAGCGCGGGTCTCCAACTGCAGCCCTGCTCGAGCAGGGAGTAATTTATCCTGGGTTTTTAAGCTCTGATGCAACAGCCTTGGAAGCAGATCACAGTGAACCCTCCCAGCGTTAGAGGTGACCTGCTAAGGATATTTAAAAGAACTGGAAATTGCCTGGCTTTCTGCTTCCTTAGATGGATAAAGGAGGGTAATGCTTTTTTTTGGGGGGGGGGGGGGGGGGGCGAAGAAAAAAGAAAAAAAGAAATGCTTAGAAATTGCAAGAATGTCAAGTTTGGTTTTCATTTTCCCTGCTTTTTTTGGAGATCTTTCTGGCATTTATTGTCAGTTCTCACACTTCAGTGTGAGGTTGTGGAGTCCTCCTCAAAGGCTTCCTCTATCTGTGAGGTTTGTTAGGCATCAAAGCTAACTAGGTATTAATGAGGGCAGACAAAGATTTTAAGCTATTTGGTGACAGATTGCTTCCTGCTCCAGTTGCGCAACTTTCTTCCCTTTGCTGAAACGATGTCATCAGGAAAGTGGTTCTGCAATTACTAGGAATCTTCCAAATAGACAAAGATGTGAATTTCTAATATTCCAGATAGGAAAACAAGCAAAGAACTCATTAAAAACCATCAGAGTTGCTCTTTATTCATCAGAAAGAAGCAAGAGAAGTCACTAAATCTCTTTACTCCCTTTAAATGTCTCTTTGAAGCCCCCGGATCCCGTTTTAGCCCTGCTGTGTAAAGGTATATTTGCAGCACAATTTCACTCGCTCCAGAGCATTTTCCTGGGGGAAACCATCTGTCCCGTCTTTGTTTGCAAAGCACCTTGTGCAGCAGCGACTCCGCAGCAGCAGTAGACGATGCTATTTTATGGGGTTTTTGTTAAGCCAGCTTGGAAATGAGCTCTTGGTGAGGAGGAGTCACCTTTGCCTTCAGCGTGCCCCATGCCATGGCGCTGGAGATCAAGGTTGGAAAGCATGTGAGGCTGGAAAGAGAAGGACCTGATGTCACCGCTCCCACGGGGACAGAGGCACGGCTGGTCTGGTGGGGCGAGGATAAGTGCCCTGAATTCATGGGTTCTATCTGAGGCTGGAGATATCTTGAGCTGGATCAGATGGCCAAGCTGGCAGCCAGGCTTGGGCGGGGAGGGTGCTGGGGCTTGGGTACTGGGGCTTGGGTGCTGGGGCTGGGGGCGCTGGGACTCAGTGCTGGGGTTCGGTGGCACTCAGTGGTGGGACATAGCAGAGCAGTGACACAGTGGTGTCGTGGTGGTGAGGAGCTGGGCAGGCAGCAGCCTGCTCCCCAACCATCTCAGTGTGCTTGTGAATCTTCTCCCCGTGGCCGTGGCTAAGCAGACAGCCCAGGAGCTGCGCTAGCTGTGTGGCTGCAAGAAAGGATTTAATTTGGTTTTCTGTGCACATGGCCCAATTTCCAAAGAGCAGATGGGGACACGTGAAGCACAGAGTGCTGGCTCGCTGGCAGGACGGGCACACTGCAGGCAGGTTTTCACGCGTGCTGGCAGTATATCCACACATGTCCGCTTGCACCCGGGGAGGCACTCGGAGGCTTTTCCCACGCGAGCACCAGCCTCCTGGGCAGCTGCATCCTACAAAGGGGACAGCTGGCCTTTGTTTCCCTGGTGCGAAACATGGAATCATAGAATCACAGAAACATTAAAGACCTCAAGGATCATCAAGTCCAACCATCAACCCAACACCACCCAACCCACTAACCCATGTCCCGAAGCACCACATCTACATGTTTCTTGACCCCCTCCAGGGATGGTGACTCCACCACTGCCCTGGGCAGCCTGTTCCAATGCCTCATCACTCTTGCAGTGAAGAAATTTTTTCTAATATCCAGCCTAAACCTCCCCTGGTGCAACTGGAGGCCATTTCCTCTTGTCCCATCCCTTGTTACTTTAGAGAAGAGGCCAGTGCCCACCTCACTGCTCCCTCCTTTCAGGCAGCTGTAGAGAGTGATGAGGTCTCCTCTCAGCCACCTCTTCTCCAAACTAAACACCCCCAGCTCCCTCAGCCGCTCCTTGTCAGCCCTGTGCTCCAGACCCTTCCCCAGCTTCACATCAGTTCTCTCCTTTCCCCATGTCTTCAGGGTTCTGTGGTCATAGCGGGATCAGCATCCTTGGATGGTTGCTCCAAACCATCGTGCTGCACACATGGGGGGTCCTTTGGAGCTTGGGGGGTCGCTGCCCCTGCCCACCCTGCACCTCACACAGGAGGTTCTGGATGGCAGGTGAGGCTGCTGGGTGCTGCAGCCGATGGGAAGCATGGCTCACACCCTTGCAAAACTATAGATGCCTGATTTGGCTTCCAGAGCGAATATCCACATACATCAAATCATCAAATCTCTACGTACGTGTAAGCTTAGCCCAAGGTTACCACTGTGTCCTTTTCCCTGCCTCTGTGTGGAGGGTGAAGGTCCACGCTGTGTGCGATGGGGGTTCTGCTCACCCCACGCCAGCAGCAGGCGGATGGAAAAGCCATGGACTGTGTTTTCCCAAACCAGTGGCTTCTGAGCATCCTGCTCATCTTAATCCCTGGGCTTGAAGGCAAGGAGGGGCTCGTGGACCTGCCATTACCTGTTGCCAAGGAGGAGGGGGAGATTATAAGCACAAAACCATCAGTGCCCGTTGCTTTGAAATGCTGGGTGTCAGTCTGGTGGAGGGATTAGTGTTTTCTGCCTGAATTTCCTGCCAAAACACTGTCAGTCCAACCCCTCGTGTCTCTGCTGTAGCAGAAAGCATCCTTGCCTCCTCTCATCCCCACGCAGGGCAAGCTGAGCCAGTTTTCCAGCATTCCCAGTTGTTCAGGTGCTCAGGTAGGGCTGGATGGAGCCGAGGTAGAAGAGAAGGAGCTGTACAGTGTCACAGTGTCTGCCTGACCCCATGTCCCCCACACTGAGTGCTGACAGGTGGGGTGGGGACAGTAGATCCCTTCATCTCCCCTTGGTCCCTGTCCCTGGGGACACCTTGAAGCCCTGCGGGGCAGGGTCCCTGCCCACTGGCATATCTCTGGGCCAGGACATGCAGTTCTTTGCTGCCACACTAAATCAGGTGCTGAATGGCCGGCACTGCCTACCCAAAAGCACAGGGATGCTCCCGTGGCAGGTCGCGCGGTCCGTGCATCCATCAGGGCACATGTCCCCCGCTCGCCGGGTGGGACGCGCTCCCGGGTCGCGTTTCTTCCCGGGCACAAGGCAGGCTTTATTTGCACGGCACGTGTTTGTGTGCTGCACCAGGCGAGCGGAGCACGGCCCTGCTCCCGAGCGTGGCCGTCAGGGAGAGAAACCTCGTTAGTTCCACTTATTAAAAAAAAAATTGCTGGAGGGAGAGGGAGAGAAGGCAGGGAAAAAGTGAAGTACTGAGAAAACACTTCTTTCATTCACATCTTGTTTACTGAAATAAATACTTCATTATTAGGCTTTTTTTAGGCTTTTTTTTTTTTAAACCAGCACCACAAAGTCCCCAGTGTTAGGGGCCGTGAATGTGCCATATCACCCCAGCGCAATGCTCCTGTGAGCCGGTGTCTTGCTGCCGGGAGGTGCTTGGAGAGAAGCACTGTGGGGAGCAGGGTAGCACGAGGCTTTCCCAAGCTTGGGGGAGAAATCTAGGAGCTGCTCCTGCCTGGTTTGATTTAAGTTTGCTGATTCCTTTCTCCTCCTTTTTGCTGGCCAGCGCTGTGGCTTGCAGGGGGCCAAGGCAGCGTCTGCTCCAAATGAGGCAAAAACTGGCAATGGAAGCAAGGAAGGATTTGGGGTCCAATATATTAAAGCTCTGCTTTCTGCTGCTCTGTGATACTAATCGAGCTCCAAAGCCTAAATAGCACGAAGGCGGGCGAGACAAAAGCACTCTTTATTTGAAGCTTGCCACCTTCTGCTGTCGGAGCGGAGAAGTCGAAAGCTGGCAGCTCCCGTGGAGACCTCCCCCTGTCCCTACAGCAACCCCGGAACGCCAGCAATCCCTTTTCTACCCCCTTAGGGTGAATCGAGGCAAAGAGAGCCTCTTCTCC